AAGATGAAGGAAAAGCCCACAGAGATGCAAGGGGAGGAGCTTCTAAAGTCTGCCTGATGACATCATGCTGTTCACTGAAGGACCACCTCTGGATAAGAATGGAAGAAATAATTCATCATTTTCATTTTTATCATGTTTATTTCAGAGATAAATACACTCATACCTTCAGAAGAAAATGGAAACCAGAGAGAATGATCAACATTCATTCAAAATAAGAATAATTAGGATTTTCAAGCCTTATGGGGAAGATTTTCAACGAGATGCATTCAAGCCTTCCTCACAGCTGATTGGTTGATGTGTAGTTTGCCGAGTAAATTTTCCTGAAATGGGGAGAAAAAGCAGGAGACTGTGTCAGAAAAAGTTGGAGAACTGTTAGAATTCAGTATACCTGGGACATACTGAGGGGTGAAAAAGGTGAGAGAAGGTCAGCTCAGAGCTAAAAAAAAAAGCAAACAGAACAAATTCATGTTCTGAATTTGTTCTGTTTGGTCCTTCGTGTTTATATTGGTTTTATAAACAATGACGTTGCTCTATTAAACAACTGTTGTATCAGTGGAAGCTTGCCCTTTCACAGTAAAATCAGAAAATAAAATAAAGTGATCATAGAATGTGTTTAAGGAAAGTGCAGGTTCAATTTGTTTTAATGAGGTGACCTATAAAGAAAGCTGAACTGAATTAGCTGTAGAATGAGAAGAAATAGTGAAGCTCCATGAACACCTGGATGTTAGTGGAGCCACAGAGGAGATGGAGGCCTTTTATCAATATGTGTACTTGTGTGTTCTCGTGTCCTCGTAAAATGTTATCAACCTCAGCCATAGCACTGTTCCAGTTCACAAGAAGAGGAACAAGAAGACAGAGAACAGACAAAGTCCCCAGATCCTGTTCTCGCCCCTCCATCTTTACCCAGCATGCATCAGAGCCAGGGCTGACGTTAGCCCCTCCGCAGCAGCAAGGCCTAATGTTAGCCAGTCTGTGCCAGACAGTGCTAACGTTAGCCTGTCTGCAACAGCCAGGGCTAATGTTAGCCCATCTGCAACAGCCAGGGCTAACG